GGGCGGCGGGTTGGCCACGCTGGCCGTGAACTGCAGCTTCAGCTTCATGTGCTGGGACAGCTGGGGATGGACAGGGGACACAGTGATGTTGGGCCAGGCCCCAGGGGGGCCCCGGGCGCCCCGCGGCTGGGCAGCCTCACCTCGAAGAGGCCGGCCCGCAGCGCCTGGAAGGCCACGCGAATGGTGAGGGCACTGCCCTTGCGCGAGTATCCCAGGTTGTTGAGCGGCGTGTGGCACACGATGGCATCCAGCGCTGCCTGCGTGGCCCGGCGCTCCTCCCCAGACAGCTTCTTCCCTGCGGGGACCATCAGCACGGCAGGGATGGGACTGCTGGCCCCCACCCGGCCACCTCCTGGCTACGACTGTCCGAGTCCTGGCTGCCCCTCCTGGCCTCCCTGGATCTCCGCCCCCCTTCCCTCACCCCATCTGTCCCCTCTTAGCTACACCCAGAGGCACCTCCAGCCCCTCTGATCCCCTCCCCACCCTCTCGGTCCCCTGCCGGACCCTCTCCCCTCTGTCCCCACCGGCCGTGGCGGTCTCGGGCGTCCAGACAAGGCGCACGGCCAGGAAGTCCTGGAGGTCGTTGAGCAGCGTGTAGGTGACGGTGAAGCGCTGCCGGGCCCGCACTGGGGACTCGCAGGCAGCTGTCATCACGAAGCGCGGCCGCTCCAGGCGGATGCTTGGCAGCCTGGGGATGGGAGGAGGGTACTGACGTGGGGACAGCCACCAGGAGCCATGGGGACGTGGGATTAGCAACATGGGACAGCCCCGCAGAGCCCTGAGGACATGGGAACAGGGACATGGAGACAGCCACATGGCAGCCCCAGGACATGAGGTTAATGGCACAAGCAGGGGCAGGGATATCTCTGGGTCCCCCTCTTGGGGCAGGAGGATCTGGGGGTCCCTTCCTGGCTTGGGGACAGGGCACATCAAGGACCCCTGGAGCGGCTCTCACCGGTAGTGCGTGTAGATGCTGCTGGTGAAGGGCAGTTTTGGCGTTGACCACTGGATCACAGCCACCAGTGGGACCTCCAAGCCCTGGGTGGGGGCACAACAGGTCAGAGATGTCCTTGCCACCACTGCTCCCAGCAAGGACGGTCCCCAACATCCCCACGTTCCCCTAGGCTCCCTGGCAAGGACAAACACCTCAGAGCCCAACAAGGACAGTCCCCCACAGCAAGGACGGTGGCCCCACGTCCCAGCGAGGGTGGTCTCCACTGCCCCAGGGGAGGACAAGGACCCCTGCACAAGGACAGCATCCTCCAGGCCACCGACCGGGATGGTGCCCCTTGATCCTGGCCCAAACAACATCTCCCAACTAGGACAGTCCCTGCCCAGGATGTCCCCCCAGTGTCCCCTTGTGCCTGGCCTCAGGGCAGTCACCCCTAGGGTACCCCCAGCCCTGAGGGTCCCACCGGTGTCCACTCACCTCCTTGGCATCCTCAGGGGGCCTCTCGGGCGCCTGGAGCTGGAAGAGGAAGTTGTGCTCCTCAAGCGCGCTGAGGGCACAGGGACAGGCCGAGCCGGCACTGGCCACACGGCAGAAGGCGCCCACAGGCACCTCACCCGAGTGGTGGCTGCAGAACGGAGCACGGGGACAGCTCAATGACATGCAGGGTCCCGTGCTGCCAGCCCGAGGCTGGCAGTGCCCCCCAGGGCTTTCCCAGGGTGGGGCCAGGGACACAGCACAGCCCCATCCTGAGGAAACAGGGGGGCCCCATGGGGTGTGGAAAATGGCACAGTCATGCCCCCCCAGCCCCAGGGACAGTCCCCCAGCTGTCCCAGCACTCACCAGACGTCATCGACCAGCAGCACAGAGCCATCGGGCATGACGGGCAAGTAACTGGCGTTGAAGTTGGGCAGGATCTGCACATCCCACAGCGAGATCTCCTCCTGGGACCAGCCGTTGAGCACTGGGGGACAGGGACATCAGGGGACAGCACAGAGGACACCGTCGTGGCCCCGACCAGTCTGTGTCACATCCTCCGCTCTATCACAGACGCCACCCCTGTCCCAGCCACCCTGGGACCCCTGTCCCCATCCCAGCCACCCCGGGACCCTTGTCCCCATGCCACTGCCCTGTTCCCGTCACCTTTGAGCACGGTGAGGTACTTCCCGGACACGGTGAGCTGGCGGCATCGCACCACGGGTGGGGGCAGCACCGTCAGCAGGGTGCTCACTGCAGGGACACGGGCGGTCAGGGGACACGTGATGTGGGGACACAGGGAGGGAGAGGGGACACGGGGATGCTCCTACCCTGTGCCTTGAAGGCCCCCTGCTCCTGGCGGAAGACATGTGCAGGTGCCCGTGTCTGCAGCAGGCTTAGGTACCCGCCGCCCTCCTGCAGCTCGGGTGGCTCCGTGTCCCTTTTCCACACTGTCACCACGATCTGGGGACAGCAGGGATATGGGTCACGGCCGGCCCGGGTCCAGCCCCAAGCTCCCCCCCCGTCTCCATGGCTCCTTCTGTCCCTCACGCCTACCCCAAGTGGCTTTCGTGAACCCAGAGAGGGGGAAGCAGGGCTAGATCCTGCTCCCCATCCCATGTCACTACGCCGTCCCCGAGGTCCCCACATTGTGACCAAGGCCACCTCCTGTCCCCAAATTCTGCCTTGCCCTTGATGGACCCAGAAAGGAGGACCAGGGCTAGATCTCTGTGCCAGCTCTGTGGTCCCACACTGTCCCCAAGATGCTGTCCCTGATGACTGCATATTGTCCCCAAGGTCCCCTCCCATCCTCGAGGTCCCCATGCTGTCCCTGAGGTCCCCTCCCATCCCCCCCTCAGCCTCACCTTGGCCTTGACGGTGCCAGGCGGCAGCTTGTCGAGGGAGATGGTCAGGGGGAAGATGACCTCGTCCGTGGACACAATGGGGTCCTCCACCGGTATCTGGGGACACAGCACAGCTCAGCACCACAGTGACCCCAGCCACATCCCCCATGTCCTCCCCTGGTCCTCATCCCCACATCCCCCTTTGTCCCCACATCCCTCTTGTTCCCAGGTCCCTCCCTTGCTCCCACATCCCCTTGTCCCCCATGTCCCCACCAAATCCTCCCTTGTCCCTGTGTCCCCCCGACTCTTCCTCGCCCCCATATTCCCTCTGCCCCCGTCCCCATCACCCACCCCGGCAGCGGGGCGCCCCGGGGGGCCCTGGCTGTGCGTCAGCAAGGCCCGGCAGTCCCGGAATACGGTGGGCTCCAGCGAGGCCCCGCTCCCGGTGTCATCCCCGGTGCCATCCAGGTCCCCGTCCCGGTCCCCGCCGGCCTCTGTGCCACCGGGGCTGACGCTGGCCAGGGCGGCCAGCGGGGCAG